ACACCACGCCAACCCACCAACCTAGGACCTGGAGCCCCAGTGTAGGGAGCCACTTGGGTCCCGCTCGCAGCCCCATGCCTGCAGCCTGGCTCTGCTCCCACCAGCTGGCTGCTGGCCTTGAGCCTCCACACGAGGTGGCACCTCACAGGCCAGCGGCTCCCCGGCAGCATCTGGTTTCAAGGCTTATACACGCTCAAGCAGGAGCTAATAGAGCCGGGAGCCCTGACAGACTCCGGGGCCATCCCCGCTCCTCCCCGGACTGGCTCAGCTCCATGCACCTCCTCGCCGCGCTGTCCCACGGGCACTCACCCGGGTGGAAGCCCACCACCAGGTCAGGACGGGCAGCCTGCTGGGTCTCCACGAGGCCTTCCCAGAAGTCGTGGTAGAGGCCCTTGTAGCTGCTGAGATAGACCCTTCCCCGGGGCCCCAGTGCCGCTAGTGGTGGCCTCATGATTGGCCCGTCGACCACATCCACTCCCACCATGACCACCTCCATGCCCTGGTGCCCTGGGAACATCCGCGTCAGCTCGTCGTAGTCCGTCACCCGGGTGTTGAGGGTCTCCACATGAGATGCCCCCACGACGTGCACGGTGAGTGGCCTGGCGAGGGGCTCGATGCCGAACAGCCGCAGCCCCAAGCCGATGGTGACAGGCCGCGAGTGGAAGTCCGTGACGAGACGTTTGATGGACTCGCGCAGCTCTCCCTCCTCCGGCCTGGGCTTCCCGGCGTTGGCCCAGAGCAGGGTCATGTAGCGCCCACCCAGGATGGTGGCCAGCTTCTCCTCTAGCTGTCCCTGCATGGCAAACCAGTCCTCCCAGCCCTTGATGTCCTGGACAGGCTTTGTCCAGGTCTCGGTGGGGAAAGGGATGTCTCCTGCAGGAGGAAGTATGCTGGCTTTCAGCAGTGCCCCTGCAGGGCCTGTGTCCCCTGATACAGACCTGAGCTGGCACCAAGAGTGCAGGGACACCCATCGTGCCCTAGACCCTGTGCTGGGCCCATTCTTTTGTCTGGGCCAGGGGTGACTGGAGGTAGGACAGGCTCCGAGCAGCAAGGAGCTGGGGCAGCAGGGACACAGGCTGCAGCGCACCCAGGCACCCTATGTCCCTCCGCTCGCTAGGGCCAGCGCAACTGCCAGGGACAGGCCGATGGGAAGCACCCCAGACCCTCCGAGTCCAGCCTGAGCACCCATGGGAGCAGGGTCACCACAGGGCTGAGGAAGCGTCCCTCTCCTACCTGTGAAGACGAGCCACTCCACCAGCCGGTCCAGGGCCACCAGTTTCAGCTTCTTGCAGAACTTCTTGTGCAGTGGCCAGTTGGCGCGCTGGCACGCCACGCCGCAGTAGTACACGTTCTGGCACCTGGCGAGAGCAGCAGTGTGATGAGTCTCGAGGAGGCCAGGCCACCAAGGCCTGTCCTGGGCAGTCGGCTTCCCTGCCATCACCCCAGGGCCACCTCATTTGGGACAGCTGAGCCCTGTCTTGGGGAAGAGCCTGAAAGCGGCCAGCAGGACCAAGGGAGGCATCAAGGCTGGACAGTGCATGGGCAGCACCCCAGACTTCACCCCACTGTTGTTCCCTTTGCCACCAGCCCACAGGCTGTCCTGGGAGCCAGATGACACGTCCAGCCTCATGCTGGGGGACCCCCTCCTCTCCTACCTCTTGCATCGACGGAGACTTTTGGGGTCAGGAAGGGCATCGGGGAGTTTCTTGCACTCAACACAAAACTTGAAGGTGTCCTCCATCTTCTGGAACATGTCAAAGTAAGTGCGGATGCCAAAATCCCTGCCCTTCTTCTTCCCATCCATGGCAGACCTGAGGAGCCCAGAGTACACGGTGATGAGCAGGGTCCAACCCCGCCACAGGGGTTTCAACCATGTCCTCACTGCAATCATCCTGGAAGCGGCCACACCGCCTTGCTGTCATCACAAGGCTCATGTCCTGTCTAAGAGCTGCCTGGGGCTTCAGCCCTCACAACCGCCGTCCTGCTCTGGGCTGCTTTGGGGATGAGGCGCTGCCCCAATGAGCGGTGGGATGTGTGCGGGGTACGTGGCTGGTCAAAGCCACCTGCCTGCGGGCTGAGCTAGGCGAGGCGGGGAGCCCTGGGCACCCACGGGCGCTGCAGCTGGAGGGACCCCTGGGGACACCGCCGGGGGGAGCTGCCCGAGCCGTGCGCACTCACTTGTAGTCGTCGTAGCTCTTCATGTTGAGCTTCTGGAGGATGACATGGGACAGGCCTGGCACATTGCTGTCCATGGCTTGGAAGCCCAGGGAGTCCATGTGGGGCCCTGCGGCCTGAGCTGCTGGCTCCTTGGTGGCCTTCTTGGCGCGGGCGGTTTTTGGTGCAGTGCCGGTGTTTCTGTGGGCCATGCCTGCTGCGGGTAGCCACGCAGAGGGGTCCGGACGGGGCCGGGGCTGGCTCAGACGTCCCCCCGGCTGCCACCGGCTCCGCACTCTGGATGCACCTCCTGGAACTTGCAACCAAGGGCTGTGCTCAAATGTCAGCCCCCAGGAGATGGTGCCCCCCGGAGCGCGCGGCCCCTCCGGCAGGAATCCGATAGCGAAGCTATTCCGGTCATCCCCTCCCAGCCAACAGGCCAACCGCTTTCCTCCTGGGCCCGGCACCCAGCGAAAGGAGCCAGGGCCGGGCTGGGCAGCAGCCGGGTAACCCCTTCTGCCCCGGATCCCACTCATGGTACCCAGCCAGCCGCAGCCTGGACACCCCGTGTGGGGCTGAGTCCTCAGCTCTGCCATCCTGGAGCAGGGATTGCTCCGAATCCCTTATTTGTCACCCCAGAGCGGGGACTGCTCTGAGCCCCTGGCTCTGTCCCCTTGGAGCAGAGATGGCTCTGAGCCTCTGGCTCTGCCACCCCAGAGCGCCATTGCCATGGCTGGAGGGGACGGAGCACCTCATCCCCACACCTCCCCTCCCCATCCCCTCCGGACCCATCAATCAGAGAGGGGAAGCCAGGGAGGGCAAGCTCCGGAGGGCCGGTTCCAGAGGGGGTAGAGAGGGGAGCGCAGGGTCGGCAGGGCGGGGGGGAGCGGGTGCCATGGGTGCTGGGTGCCGTGGGACTCACCTCGTCCTCTGCCCGTCCCTGCCTCTCCCAGAGCACGCGCTCTTACCCTGGTGCCTGGGCAGTGTCTGCCCGTGCCTCTGGGATCGCTTCCCAGCGACAGGAACGCCAAGGGGCAGCTCCCAGCTAAGAATATCCCACGGCGCAGGCCTGCAGGGCCACGTGCCTCGGCGGCAAGGGCAGCGCTGCCCCGGGTGGACCAAGCAGGCACTGGGCTGCAGGAACCGATTGGGCATGGGGTGCTCTGGGCTGCAACTGGGCTGCCAGGGGTGGGAGCTGGGGGCTAGAGGAAGCAGGGGACTGGGGGGCCATGGGACTGGGGAGCCAGGCACCCCACTCCCCCAGCCCACCCCTCCCTGCAAGCCCAGTCATGTGCCACCATGGGCCCTTGTCCCCTGATCCTGCTCTGTGCAGCCCAGTGGGTCACCAGCTTGGCATCACTCCTGCAGTTGGCATCAGGACTTGGGCTTGTGTCTGTCCCCTACCAGGGGACTCTGGCCCTGAGTGAGGACACAGGTCATGGGGATGCCTGGCAGCAGGGACGACAGGGGCATGAGGTGCAGAGACATGGAGGCATGGGGCTGCGGAGCATGGGCATGCAGAGCCGGGGGGTGCAGGTCATGAGGACATGGGCTGTGCCGACATGGGCACTAGGATGTGTAGCATGGGGATGGGGGGCACCGGTCACTGCGGTGAGCAGCACGGGGACGCGGCACACGGGGACGCAGGGCGGCGCGGGGACACAGGGCGCTCAGCAGCTGGCCGGGGCTGCCCACACCCGACATGGCGGCCCCTGCGTCACGGATTTCC